ATATATTTGAATAAGTAGAAAATAACTAAGTACAAATGGAAACAAAACAAAGCTCAATAAAGGAATGTAAAGTACTCGGGATTTAAAAACCAAAAGCAACTAATGAAAGCAACTCAAAAGTACTTAGAAAGCAACAAAGAAACACTAAAAATGATCAAGAGAAGGAAGCAAGGCTTGATGATTTTGGTGGAGAAGTTGCTGGAATTTATAGCTGTGCAGAATTGGTTAGGTAGGTCCTAAAACGATGGTGAATCACCCATTTCCAACTCTTTTGACTGACCAAATCGTGCTCAAACTGATAGTGGAACACTTCTTCTACACGTATGCATCGGTTGGAACCACCAAAACGCATTGGAAGACGCGTTTCATTAAGGGCAAAGTTGGAAGAAAAACTGTTTTTCTGCAGGCACGCAGGCGCCTGGCGCCTCCCATGAAGAAAGAAGGAGAAAGGGTAGGGTTTCTTTATTTTTTTTTGTTTTGTTTTAAAACCAATTTTTCCTCAATGGAGGCCCAACCATCAAAGCCCAAGAAGAAGGAGTCAATTCCCCTTAAAACAAGACCCAACATACAGAGTTCGGTAAATATTAATTTAATTGGATTTTTAGAGCCCGATAAATATARATAAATTTAATTAACAATCAATTTAATATTAAATGAAAAATCTYCTGATTCGAGACTAACTAACCTGAAGGAGTCGGGGCGTTACATTAGGTCTCTTCCTAAGACTTGGGAAGCAAAGGTGACGGCAATCCAAGAAGCCAAAGATCTCACCAAACTTCCTTTGGAGGAACTTATTGGCTCACTCATGACTCGTGAGATTACCATGAAGGAGCACTTGAAGGATGAGTCCAAAAAGAATAAAAGTATTGCTTTGAAGTCCACATCYAACCAAAAGGAGTCCAATGATGTGTTTGAGCTCAACGAAGAAGAACYTGCTTATCTCACGARGAAATTMAAAAACCACTTTAAGAAGAAGCATTTCTCAAGAAGAAATTCCCACCAAGAATCAAGAGGAGAAAAGATCAATAAACATGAAGATATTATTTGCTATGAGTGTAAAAAGTGGGRCACGTGAAGTATGATTGTCCACAACTAAAGTCTTCTTCAAAGAAATCCAAAAGGAAGGCATTTAAAGCTACTTGGGATGACTCCGACGAGAGTAATAACAAAGAAGATGAAGAAATTTCAAATATTTGCTTTATGGCATTCGGAAATGAAGAAGATGACAACAATGAGGTAAGTATTGAAAAACCCTCTTATGATGAGCTTATGGATGCATATGAGGGAATTATAGTTGAATTTGAAAAAGTATGCTCAAAATACATAGCTCTCAAAAAGAAATATTCTAGCATGTCTAATGAGATTAAATCTTTAAAAGATGAAATAGATGCTTTGAATATTGAAAATAATTCTTTGGTTGAAGAAAATGCATGCTTGAAAAACAATGTCAACGATGTTGTGAAGCATGATGTAATTGAAATTTCATGTGATGAGAAGCTTGCTTTATTAGATAAAATTAAACTTCTCGAGYATGATATTTTTGATAAAGATGAACYTGTTAAAGCTCTTAGAGAAAAAGAGTCAAATCTTGTAAATGAGCTTGAATGTGCTAAAGAAAACATTAAGAAGTTGACAATAGGTGCACAAAAATTAGATAAAAATTATTGATATTGGCAAATCTTGTAATGATAAAAGAGGATTAGGTTATGTTATGAGAGTTCTACTCCATCTACTTCAAAACAATTTTTGTGAAAGCTTCCTCTAATGTGCATAATAAAAATTTGTCTAATGTTGTGCCAAAGTGTGATGTGCATAAGCATGATGTACTTAAATTTGTGCCTAATCATTTTCATGCTAAATCTAAATTGGTGCATAATGCTAAATTTGTGCCTACATGTCATTATTGWGGAGTTAAATGTCATATTAGACCAAATTGCTATAAATTGAAAAATGCTCCTAATTTTTATGGAAAAAGAAATATATCCCATAGACCAAAATATTTTCATGATTATAGAAAGAATTCTTACATGAAAAAGAATGTGCATAAATTTCTTGTAAGAGAAAA